GTGATGACGTTTTTTTCCCTGTTGTGAATACGAGATCGTCAGCATCTACATTTGTGAAGGCCGTGACTGGACTGTCCGATCCACAGAAACATGCAGTTCGCGAGATGGGCTTTGGAGCCCTATTAGACTTGAAGATAACGTCATTGCCATTGAAAATGGGGTTCTGGTTGGTGGAAAACTTCAACTATATGGACCGCAAACTGCGGCTATACGGTGGTGAAAAGATACATGTGAGGGAGGAGGATGTGTATACTGTTGTAGGACTTTCTCGTGGCTCGCTTCATATATCGAACAAAAAAAAGAGGGCGGAGTCAGCCATACTTAATCAGTGGATTAGCCTATTTGATGTTAGAAGCTTAACCAATATCACAAAAACTAAGGTGCTCGAGAAGTTTCATGAATGTGCAGACGGCGGCGATTGGTTTAAGAGGCACTTCATTGTTCTGATGGTGACGTGCTTGTTTGGGAGCTGTCAAAACGAGATGGTGAATTCTCCTATTGTTCACTTGCTCGACGATGTATCAAAGGTTTTCGATATGAACTGGTGCTCGTTTATGATCAGTTGTCTTGTGAACACAAGAAAAACATGGGGTAGTACCGACAAAAAGAATAAATATACAGGCCCGTTGATGTTTCTGACGGTTAGTATCAATTTTTTGTTTAGTTTTTTCTGTTATATATACATATATATATTACGATGTGTGATCGTGTTGGTTCTTTTTTTTATGTAGTTGTTCTATGTGGATAAAGTTGTGTTGTCGATGAGATCAGTTCCAAGATCATTCCCCATATTTAAATCATAGAGTAATGATCTTTTGAGGGACAGAGAACGTGACGAGATAGAGTCCGGTGCATTTGGTAGAGGATTCGTGGATGTGGACGCATGTGTCATGGAAGATGATTGTTGTCCAGACATAGTCGAAAAAAATGCGGATGGTGAGCCAACGACTAGGTGTGATGCTGAACACGATGTCCAGGTATGCGTGCATTTGGTTATTTAAGGTTTGTCAGATTGCCCGTGATGATATCTGTGTGTGTGCAAACATAGTGGTGTGAGACTGTTAGAATTTCGATGTGTGTAACCGCTGTGTTGCGACATTGCTGGACTTTGATATTTTCGTCCTGTGTGTGTTGTTATTGTTTGTTGACATATTTTCGTTCATTGTATGATAATATAAAGTTCATCTGATGATTATATAATGGTCAGTCTGTTATTATATAAAGTTCGTTGATTGTGAACACGTATTTAATATAAGTTAATTTGGTTGTGTACACGTATTTATTCTTATTGGCAGGCATTTCTTCAAGAATTTGCATCTAAAACCCGGATTCTTGCAAATACCGGCATTGAGATATTACGACTCACCGAGAAGGCTCCACAGGTTCTGTTTGATGATGAAAACTTTATGAAGATGCAATCTGCCGCACAGAAACTTCTTGGTGTTTCAGGTGACGATTCAAATCAGAAGTCAAAAATAAATAATAGTCAGCAGGTCTCCCCTGATATAGATCCAAACCAAGTGGACCCTACGCCGAAGGAAGACGTGAACAAAGATTTTGTAAAGGAGAATGCAGCTCATTCCATAGATGATGCATTTTGGAATGATCCTGCGACGATATCAGCATTGGACGATATAATTGCTGCGGTTGCACGTCGAGACCGTTTTAGACGGATACACTTTGAGGGTCCAAGCTACAGCTTGGGTTTGGGATTAACACAAGACGAAGATGATTCTGATGCTAGCCACCATCAACCGGGCGAATTGGGTAGTGGCATTAATGAACAGCAAGCTGACGGCGTAGTTGTTGGAGGATCATCGGGGGTGGATATACCTACAGGTAATGTTCAACGTACGTTAAAATTGATGTTTTTGTGTGAATAATGTTTTTATTTATATTGGTTGTGTGGACGTTTTTAATGTTCAATATTTCGTCACAGTTGAAATTGTTGTTGATAAGAATGTCGGTGTTGATGATGCGGCTGTCGATGGTGTACAAGGTATGTATACTGCTATTCGTGCATTTTTCCTGTTCTGTATGTTTTTATTTTTTGTATATATATTAATGCGTAATATATTTTGTTACGTGTGTAAGTGTTTTGTATTCGACATATACTTGTATAATATGGTTTAGTGTATTGTCATTGTGTAGATGAGGTTGCTGTTTCCGAGCATACGGATGGTGGTGAGAGTGGCAGTGCGGATGAGATCGACGTAAGCCAAGGTATATGTGAGCATTTCATTTAGCTAATTAGTCAATTTGCACTCGGATATTTTTTTGTAGTTTATTGTTCTTTGTCTATACATCATGAGTTCGTGTGTAGGTGTCAGGAGTGATGATGGATTGGATTGCAACACGAGGCTAAAAAGGATAACCAATACGACTAGTGCAAACAAGTCACCATATAAGAAGAGGTTGATTGGTGTGACAAAGAAATTAGATGCACTAGAGAAGATGGTAGCTAACTGGGTTATGAAGAATCACTTGACTTGCGAGTAAGCTTTCTAACTGGCGTTGATAATCATGTGCTGTAAATTGCAATTACTCGAACATTAATCATAATATTATTTTTTTAATTTTAATATATTGCGAGTACTAAATATTATTCTGAATGATTATGTTTTACGAATGGTGATATTTAGGAAAATGAGACAATAGTGTTCCAGTCATTTGGATACTATGTCCCGAGGTCGGTTGTGGCGAGTTTGATTCCCAATGAACATATTTCTGAGGCGATGATAGACTTGTGGGCCTGTGTTCTTAATCACAATGAGAGATTCAAGAGTCGCGGTTCAACGACATGTTTCTATGCGACTACGTCTCCATGCAACGAGGTATTATGTGCAACGAATAATGTCAAAGTGTGTGTACATGTTGTTGATTTCATATAATAACGGTTGTAATTTGCGATGTTGTGCACGTTTGTAGTTGTTTGTTGAGGGCAAGCAGAGGAAGGACGTTGCCTATAACAAGTTTGCAGAATGTATTGATGCCGAGATTGTGCGGATGTCCCGATATCAGTTGGACCAAACGTCACTGGTGAATTAATATTATTATTAATATTATTATTATTATTAATATTCCTGTTGAGTTTGCCAATTGATTTTATATTATTCGTCCTCCAGATTTCTTTTATAAGGTGAAATGTCGTGTATTATAATTGTTAATTTATTTTCCAATTTAGTTTTTGTTCCCTGTGCACTCGAGTGCATTTTCTGGCGTGTTGTGCATTACACCGGTTGCACGGAAGCTCAAAGTGGTAGTTCTGGACAGTGCTTTTTTTTTTTTGTAAAAAGGTTGCTGTTAAGAGAAAGGTTACAGCACACGTCGAGCTGCTTGTAAGTATAAATATTCGTATATGCTCTTTCGTGTTACGTTATGAATGTATGTTGTTGATGATTCGTGATGTTTATGTAGAAGCGACGTTCTCAAAATACCTAAACGAGAGGAAAATGGGGAGGTTCTCGAAGGTACTTGCTATGGTGAAGCCGGAAATTGTCAATCCATCATGGACAGAGGGTGTCGACACGGTAGATAGCGGGGTAGTCACCATGCGTCACATGGAGACATTCAAGGGGGCTGCTTTGAAAGGCTGAAAACCTGAAATAAAGAAGGCGGATAAGGTGCAGATGAAGCTGATGAGGAAGCGTTATTGCTACGTTGTAGCATGCGCGCGCTCCCAACAACACCCTGAAGGAGGACAATGTAGTTGCGGCTAAGGAATTTCACCCTCTGTACTTGAAGAAGAAACAGGAGCGCGATGTTGCTCATTGAGTGAGTGGTTTGTATGAGAATTAGTGGGCTCTATAGGGACATGGTACTGTCGCCTACGACTAAGTATGTTGTGTTTCCTTTTTGTTTTAGGACGTCATATCGTTTTGCATGTTCAGACTATTGTGCTGTTTGGTGTTTTTCTTATGTCGTGTTTTGAGGTTTAGACATATTTCTGACTGATGACGGGTTTTGTGTGTTTTGGTGGAATGAACATTGAAATTGATTTGCGGTCGTAAATATATTATGTTGACCGGTATTACATGTTTTGGCATTTGATGTCTTCAGCTCCGTATATAGTTTTGTTTATGTATGCTGTTTTTATTTGTTCGTTTGTTTGTTTTTTATTTTTTGTTTTTTTTTATTCTTTTTTTCTTTTATGTGTCTCTTATTGTGCAAGTTTTTCTCAATCATTCTGCTGCAATATATAGATTAATGTGCAACATCTATGTAATCGTATACAAATATGTGTGCATACATGTAAACGGTATCTCAATGTGCAACATTGTTCGAATTAATATGCTGCGTCACATTCAGTAATGTGCAATCATTTAATGTACTTGATTGTGTTTTTCTTTTTTTTTTCTTTTTTTTTTTGTTGTTGTTTTGTTCTTAAGGTACCTTAATGTGCATGTTGTCATAAAAATATGATATTTTACTGCAATATACATAAGAACATGCAACATTTATGTGATAATATATGCTTGTGACAGATAGTCATGTAATCATACGGGTTCTTAACGTGCAATGGAGTTTAAATTAACGTCCTATGTCCCAGACAATAACGTGCATTGATCGATATGCATCAGACATACAAGAACAAACTAATAATAATAATAATCATAATAATAATAATAATAATAATAATAATAATAATAATAATAATAATAATAATAGTAATAATAATAATAAAACCAGTATAGAGTTGGATAAACAATTAACATCGTTTGTAGCAACATGATACTATCACGAGAAAAAAAAAACTAAATAATATGGCATCTAAAATGCATATAGTCTTCAATGTGTGAGCTAAGTGCTACGTTGAATCTTCCAGTATCTCTATCGACTCACACTGGCTCCCATTGTCTGCGTGCGATTAAATATGTAGATTAGTGAAATATGCAAAACATGCTGGTACCTCAACTTAATGATTAATTAACTAAAAAAATAACAGAATGATGCATGAACAGAGTTTTTGGTGGTATGAGAATGTATTATGAATCATACCATCATTGTTTCTTGAGACACGTCCGGGCATTGTGACCTGCCCTCTCACCGCATGTCTTGCATATACGTCTCTTTTTTAAGGATTTTTCGATTGCTTCCTCCTTTCCGCTTTTCATCATTTTCCCGCTGCCCTTGTTCTTTGATTTGGCCGGAGGGTGTATGTTCACCTCCAGAGGGATAGACGTGCCGACAAACGTTTCAAATCGACGCTCTTTCGTCCCGGCCGGTACATCCTCCTGTTCAGTCACCAACTTGTGCTTGTGGTTTACAATAATTCTTGAAAACTCGACAAGGCGGTCCATGGATGGCTCGACCAGTCCCATGCATAGATGTATGTCAGACCACAATTTATTCACCATGAGTTTTCTATCATCAATTTGAGCACATTGTTCAGTTATACCATCAACAATGCAGAACGTTGGGTCCAAAATGGCCATTTTCGTCCATCTTGATATAATATGTGCACTCGGTATAACTTCAACATTCACGTCCTTCAATACAACGAATATGTGTCTGCATGGCCACCCATGCAGTTCAAAATGCTTGCATGAACAAGTGGCTGATTTCAGAATCGCGTTGTATAACACATTGAACGTCTTGCCATTAGTATCTTTGATTTCGAATTTCATCTGTTCATCGTCATCTGAGAAGTTCATAACGCGACAATTGAAACAGGCTGCACATATTTCATCCTGAACAAGATAGAGAATGGTAGTGGTATATACGTTCAGAGCATGCTTTTCAATATCCAATGAAGTTTTCAAGATAGCTAAGTGTGTTTCACTGTCCGCTTGCAACTTCATTGATGTGTTTCGTTGCGCATCCATTGCATTGTCAAAGTGTAGAAAGAATTCGACCAGACTAGCGTGATTGTTCATGAAATATCCGAACCAGTTGTTCTCACTCTCCGACCTGGACGTGGTTCTCATTAGCCCGCTCATTTTAACACTTCTAAAGAATGCTGGAATCCAAAGTTCCCATTTTGCATATAAATCAACAAACCAACTGTGGGATTCCAATTCATATTCACACATGAGTTCAGTCCACCTCGCCTCAAATTCTGGCGGTTCTATTGTTCGATTCCAAACAAGTTCATTAAGTCTGGATTTGAAAGCACCCTCGTTATGCAAATGATGCCCTACCTTATCAGATAATTTTTTCATTATGTGCCACATGCAAAAACGATGCTTTGACGTGTTGAATACCTTAGAAAAGGTGATTTCAATTGAGGGATCTTGGTCTGTGACAATATAATCTGGCTCCTTAATCATAGCGGCTTTGAAATTTTCGAACACCCAAACATAAGAACCCACGTCCTCCTTCGATATCAAAGCTGCCGCAAAAGTAACACATTTGTTATGGTTAGCGATTCCGGTGAAAGGAGAAAACACCATGTTGTATCTGTAAAGATAACCATCAGGTGTTAACATAAGGTTCATCCTTGTATGATATTATGTTCATTCTGTATTTATGTAATGTCCAATAGGATAGTATATTTTTCGCATCTATAATATGCAAGTTACCTGTTGGTGCTATACGTGGCATCAAATGTCACGATGTCCCCGAATGATCTATAATTCTGCCTCGAGATTGGATCTGCCCAGAAAAGTCGTCCCAAGCATTCATCATCATTTACTTCATAACGAAAGTAAAAGGCGGCGCTATGCTATTGTCTCTTACAGAACTTGTCGATAACCAAATGGGCATCTGCTCCTGAAATGTAAGCACAGAGATCACATTTGAAGTTCTTGAAATCCGTGTTGGTGGCACCAATACCAGAATATCCCCCCACAAATTCTTTGTACAGCCTGTGTGATTTGACAGGCCCAATGTTTGTCTTTATACAATTCAAAACAAAACTTTGATGTCCCGCATTCATAGTTCTGTTGATTTTGAGATGTTGTCTGCATTCTTCAGAAGTCATCTATCCTCGAAAGAGCTGACCACATACCCATTGAGTCCATCTACACGCAGCACTATCCTCGCAACACAACCCACGCGGTTGGATACTCATCTCCTTCTTATGTGTCCATCAGGTGGGTTGGAATGGTCAACATATGAATTGCGTTTATAACCCTCTCGCGAGCATACTGGATACTTCTAAAGTATGGTCTTATTATCACGTGCCTTGATCAACGTGCTCTGTCGTACATCAAAACCAACAGCATACGCATACGCCTTATAGAAGATTACTGCATCATCCAGCGTTTGGAACTTTTGCCCTTTATAAGGTTTAAGGGGATCATCACAATGTGGTGTCCAATATCTAGTTCCACCAGGAGTGATTGATATCTGCTGACGACCCGTATATGTTGACGGCGTTCCTGTGGTTGCATTCAACATGTTCATAATATTGCACAATTGTATATATAGTAATGCACATCATCGGTATGGAGAGTGAACATTATATAATTAATATAAAAAGATGAATATATCAGATGAATAATATAAACACAGTATGTGAAACACATAAGTTAGATGTCAAACACTCAAACACATATAGAAATCTAACAGAATATATATGTCTAACATATAAACACGTATAGAGGTCAGACACAGCAGGGGTATACAATAGTTTTATTTGTCGTGCACACCGCTGTATTAATTGCATAACAATGTCCAGAATCTTGCACGAATTATCAAATATATTGCACATTACACGTACTATGACTCATTGATTATATGTGCAGTATACAAGACAGACATTGGTCCATACTTGTCTGAGCAACATTCGATTCTATCATCTTGTGCGGTGCAATCGTATGAAATCAGTTCGGCGTATGTTCTATAAGGTGCCTGGAATTTCCCATTTGTAAAAAAAAAAAAAAGATGAACGGAACAAATCGCGTCATATATTCACAAATCGAAAGGTCTTAAACCCGACGTATAGGTTGAATTAAAGCCATTAATTCGTATAACGTACATACGTCAATTTTGAATTTTGCCCTAACTGAGGTTGATCACGATGCGGACGCGAATTCATAAGTTTTTGGATGTCAATTTTGAGCTTCGATTTTGGGAGTTCGATTTTGAGATGCGAAATTTAGGATTTTGTCGTCGAGCTTGGAGGATGGGATTCCGATTTTGATCTTCGAGCTTTGTCGAGTTTTAAGATTGGGATTTG